CAGAGGTACAGAGGCTCTTCATCAAGGTATAAGCTCTCTAAAAACCTCTTCTTGATGTGATAGTTTTTAGGGGAATTTAAATGAAGATACCGATCTGTTTTGTACATGATCGCATCCAGGTAGTAGCCCATGCATGTCCGTATCGAAGGCATAGCTAGCTAGAAAACTGTAGGCTCAGCTGTAGTAACTAATAGTACTGACAGTCACTCGCGATTGAGCGGCCAATGAATGCGAATGTGCTCGGGGAGTGTGTGTGGAGAGGGGAAGATCAGACTCAGTGCGTCATCAAATAGGGGGGTGTCAAGGAGCTCATGGGCTCCAGTGCGTCACGGAGCCCTGTTTTAGCCCCGCCAAATTAATCCGTAAAATTGCGATGGTGAAAAACTGTTTAACGGTCTAACTCCACATTTCAGTACTTCACAGTTCACAGACTTTGTAATATGTTTTAGCAATACATATGTAACATTTATAATGTGTTTAGAACTTTTTTGTAGAATTGCCTTTACAGGGACTTTAATATAGAAAAGGATAAACTGTAATGGACTGATACTGTATGTTGTGAAAGGGCAGTTTTATTAACAATATAGCATTAAAATATATTTTGAGACACCAATCCTACTCCTACCCCTAAACCTAACCATAACAATTCCTTAAAACTACGTAACAAACTACAATTATGAAGAAAAACATAACTAACAGACAAGTATAATCACAATAATTTATTTATTGCGAAAATGTCAAAACCGATACCAAAAGCCGTTCATATGATACTCTCTGTAATAGTTTTGTATGAAGTACAGAGCAGAAATTAAATTACTAATGAAAATGTTAATCCGGCTTCGGTTCGCGGTTCTCTATTTCAAATGAACTAAACTAATCGTCACAGTCCTTCATGTCGCAAACTGTGACGAAGCAGGGAAGAGCCAATGAACGTTTGATATCACTGCCGTAAAACATGACGTATCCCTTCTCAAGGGCGCAATTTTTGAATTTGAATTCATCACCAGCGCGGGGTTTTTTACAGGATAAAACGCTTTATGTGTCTCAAGGTAAATAAACTATTACAAAATGGTTGAACGAGTAACGTTAAAGCATGTATTTTTAAGGTTTAAGAGTGTATTGTTTAACACCATGCAGGCGAAACGAGCAAAATGTTAATATTTATGAGTATTATATCAATAAATGCGACTGAAAACTTCATTAATAAGACAGTGGAATGCAATAGAGTCAAAACATAATGCTACGACATTAATATGCATAAATTGTGATACGTACAAATGTGTACGTCGGTGGATTTGTTCATACGTAAATAAATTACGTTTTTGTGCTGTCAATACGTAAATATTTTACGTTTTAGTACTGTAAATACGTCAGTATTATACGTTTCTGCGCATATAAAACGTAATTATATATACGTATGATAGAACGACACTTTATGTACAAATACATACGTATTCTCATGAGATCACGTTGCAGCACATTCATACTCAGCGAGATTTGGCTATAGTACCTACTCTTTTAGCGCTCGTTACAAGTACTTATTGAAATTTCCCCAACCACTTCCTCCTGCATAATCTGTTTTTTTTTTTCTACTCCTTTTCGCTACAGATCAGCACACAGCACACCTACTTTCAGGCTATAATTTTTAATAACAATTTCAGTCTCGCCTGAGAACTCCTGTCATGCACGCGTGATGTTATGCTATTTCCTTAACACGTCTCGCAGGTTTGGTTGTGAAACGTAGTGTGCGGACCAGACAGAAGTTGTTGGCGATTCTTTCTTTTGTAAAGTCATTTAGTGTGAACCCCCCTGTCAATCCATTGTGCAGTGTGCACACACCAGCAACTGAATGTTACCTTAAGGAATGATCGCGCGCGCGAACTCGACAATCGACTTTTTAGTTGTGCTTTAATGAAGCTTGAATGTTGTCTAAAGTACAGGACCTGATAAAAATACAGTACTTGATAAAAATGTATCTGGAGTGTGTTCTAATTTATTATTCCTATTTTAGATGTACTAAATTGCAACTTCATCATTACAAATGTGCAATAAAATAGGTGTAATTATACAATTACATATTAAAAAGTCCTACTTGGGTCAAAAAGAACACTCCTAAGTTCAACTAATTGCTTTTAATATTCACTTAAACTAATACATTTTCTTTTTATTGCAAATAACATGCAATTGAGTGTCCAAAAAAACATTCAGTTTGCACAGGTATATTGTTTAAATAATAAAAAATATTTTTGTAAATAAATTGTCTGTATCACAAAGGTCTGTGAACAGAACTAGCCAGCCCTTCAGATATTATTAGCTAGGCATTTGAAAGTCCAAGTGAGATTTGAAATTTCCATGAGAGGGAAAAATAGAAACTGTCTTGCAGTAAAAAAAAGAAACTGGTAAATAGATGCAGGTATAAGATAATGTGCAATTGGGGTCATAGCATGTTACTCATGATATACATTATTATGTGTTATAATTTATAAATAATTAAATTAAACCCTTAAATGAGCATTTCACCCATTTCAACATTAATCTTTTTTGAAAGTGGATCATATACACTGAAAAAAAGAATATGCTTTATCTAATCAATAAAATTGTGGCAACATATTACAACTTGTAATTTACAAGCAATTAAATTAAATTGTACAAATTAGAATTAATTAGAATGTTAATTTGATTAACTATTACTCAATTCTAATTCGCTCAATTTAATAAATGTGCAGACACCGTCACAAAAATTCTATTCAAGTCTGCCTGTAACGTATTCGTTCAAAACTTCGAATATTTTGGAGCCGGTGGTTGTGCTTGGAAGTGAAAGACAACAGAGCAAATCTTCCTGGACCTCATCTTGATGCACGTACCTCACATAAACTAACATGATCGCCTTATTTTTCACGTCAGTCAATTCGTCCACTTGAATTACGTACCACGGAGATGCTTTTTATCTGCCCAACAGCTGCCCCTCAATATCGTCAGCCATGTCATCAATTCTCCTGGCAACAGTATTGTCAGATAGTGGAACATGTTCCAACTTGCTAGCTGCTTTTTCCCTCAAAAGTTCCCGACACATATCTTTTGCATCCGGCAAAATTAATTCTTCTCCGATTGTGAAGGTTTTTTTTTAGCTTTAGCTATTCGGTGAGCAACCAGATATGATGCCTTTGTTGCAGCTACGTTTACTGATGTTGAGGATTTCAAAACTTGTCTAACTCACGTTTCTTTCTCTCGAAAAACTCCTCCGTTTTGAAGTTAAGTGTCGCTGAAGTTTTGACGGCTTCATTGCAGAGTTTTTCACCACAAATAACACACAGCGGTAAATCTAGTCGTCGTAAATCCATACCTAATGTATGCGGTATCGTATTTACGATTAAAGCTAGACTTCTTCTTTTTCTTGCTATTTTCGATTTGGTCATCGCCTTTCCTTTTACATGAACTGTTCGCTATGAAATTACCCATTGCAGTTTGCTGAGGCCCGCTCATTTACTTCTCTGTCACTTCAGGTGAACTGCATTTTTTTTTTAAGACAGTCCGGATACGACGTTGCTAAGCAATCGCAAGGCGTTCAAAGAAAAAACATTTTAATCTATTTATTTATTTTAAACTATGCATTATGTTTTGGACTAAATAACATGACATGTTAAAAAGCATTTTAAAAGACAATTATATATACACACAAATATATATATAAAGGTTATATAAAAAAAAATATTCGGGGAATATTTCAAGGCCCGGTACTAACAGATCCACGGACCGGCACTGATCCGCAGACCGGGGGTTGGGAATCACTGGTTTAAAGCACTGAAACTGTCTTTTGGACCTTGAACCGTTTGTTTCCCATTAAAGTGCACTATATGGAGTGGTATGTTTTCATCAAAAGCCTTAATTTCTTGTCGACTGAAGAAAGAAAGACGTGGACATCTTGGATGACATGTGGGTGAGTAAATTATCAGCAAAAGTTTTTTTTTAAAAGTGAACTACTCCTTTAATTAGCTTCAAAGTAGGTGTTTACAGTATGTTTTAATTGTACTTTCAATCAGTGGTGTGTAGCTTATTGATTGACAAGCTACTATATTTCCCAAAACTGGTCGTGTACGGCAGCATAGAACATCACACATCAGTAAATTTTCCTATGATTTTTTTTTTTTTTAAAGATAGCTGTTTCAACAAGAGGTCAAAAGTTGCCTTATTCTGTGCCGACACCTGACAACCCTGCCAGGCAATAAGAGGACATGAGAATCCAATTCAAATTAAATTGCTCTGACAGAACTGCTGAAAAACAAACACTCCCACTTCACTGGCCAGGTCACTCACTTAGCTAGTTGAATGACAAAATTGCAGAAATCATAGTCATTTGTACTGAACACAGAGTCATTCTAACATGCTTCTCACCCACTGAATGTCACAGTTACATGCTATTTTTCAAGGTCAATCATTATGATTGAGAGAACAAACTATAAAAAAGCAGTATTATTTTGCAGATACTGGAAATGTTGTCATAGTTCTGTTCAGAAAAATCCCATTAAACACATTTGCATTTCTTTTTAGTAAAGCCCTAAAGATTAAACTGGTCATTAAAACAACAAAAGTGATTCTTTTGTGAGTCTTCACATCTTTTAAGGTGTCAGTCATGGCAATGCAATAATTTGTGCTTTGAGCAAAGAACCCACGCAGGAAGTCAGTAAAAAAAAATAACACCATAAATGGTCCGAACGAGTCATGCTGCTTGCACAGACCTTTAATTGCTATTATATAAAGTCAGTAATATACATATTCATTTAAAGTCTCCTTTAACATTCTATTGAATTCACTGACACTATTCGCTTCATTGTATCCTGGGGTCTTGAAGGCCAAACCATCTTCAGAAAACCAAAACTAACAGAGACGAACACTGAAAGCAATAATTATTAAAAATGTTTATGCTGTAAATAATTCAAGACCTTGAAAATGACTGAGACATTCAGTTAAAAAGAAAAGCTTTCCAAAAAAAAAAAAAAAATCACTTTTTAAGAGATTTAAAACGGGTCACTGTGCATACTCAAATATACCCAAGAATTCACAACTTTATCTGAAGTTCCATAAAGTGAAGATCATTGGTCTAGGATGCATGTGAATCAGGCACTTCTAAATTAAAACCAAATGTGTAATTAAAGCACAGCAGGGCCAAGATGGAAAACAGCAACAAAAATAAATAAATACAAATTCACCATCCACACGTGCAGTGACTTCCAATGACAAAGCGACCTCATTTCATTAATTTTCAACTCGCATCCTCTGGGGACTGGATTTGTGTGCATGCAGTGACTTGAGAAACTTAAGTAAAGAGTGGCTTTTTGAAGCGATAACCAATGTGAAAAGAAGACATGATCCATCTTCACTTAGCTCCTGCAATGACAGAAAGACAGAGAAAAATTATATCCTTGATTTCAGCCTTTTACATAACATGTCTTTGACCTCACATAGCAGAATTAAGTTACAGTGGAAAAAAAACAATGTAACAGTTCAAGTTCAGATACAGAGGAGGCAAGAATCGGCAAACGTTACACATGAAATGAAAGTCTCATAGTTTTCTGTTGCATAAAAAACATAATAAAACAACAACGTAAATTTCGCAGGCCTGGTCCTCTCTCACCCTTCACTGGCATCACTCCTTTTTTCTTTTGGGGCTCCTCCATGACCACACAGGAGACTCTCATTAGTATTTGCTTGACCTGGCCTTCGGACAGAGGCGAGAGAGGGGAGAGGGGAAAAGAAAGAGGGAAAAAATACTGGTCAGGTTCCCCAAAAACACTGTTGATCGGTCTTCAACCAGCTGGGGCCCTTACAGTACTTGTAGTGCCATTCAATGGAACTGGATGCTCCTCAGCGGTAGGCTTCCTACTCCTCCATACATCCTATGGGTTTGGGTGCTCGACAACGAGTCCCCAGTTTCCTTGCTTTGCCTGCTTTGGATGTCAGCAGGCCCCCCTCACAAATGGCAGCCACCACTCCTTGACCCAGGCAGATGGCAACGAACCTGCCTGATTCATCACACCAACACAACTGCCTCTGTGCTGCCTGTCCTCCTCAGCACTGCGAACCCCCTCAAGCAGCAAGATCTCTCTAACAGCAAGTCCCTCCAGACATGTCCCATGTCCCACTAACATTCAATGTAACATTTATAACAAAATAAACAAGCAACCAATAAGAAAATAAGCACTAGTTACCTCAAAGTCTTACTGACGGACAAAAAAAAAAAAATGTCCCAGGCCTAGTCCTCTCTCAGCCTTCTCTTCTTCTAATCCCACCAGTGTGTCGCAAAGGTGACTCTCATTTGCATTCACTCCACCAGCCTCACTCTGCTCCCACACCTTTTGGCCCCTGCCCTGATTTGCACCATAAACAAGTATATAGCAAAAATAAACAAATAACCAATACGAAAGTAAGCAGCAACTGCCTCACGGCTTACTGACACACAAAAAACATAATGTTCCAGGCCTGGTCCTCTCTCAGCCTTCACTGTCCTCACTTCTTCCCTAGAGACCGGTGTGTCGTGCAGGTGACTCTCATTTGTATTCACTCTGCAAGTCTCGCTCTGCTCCCACACCTTCACACCACTAACAAGTATACAGTATTTTTTTTTCTAAAACACTGAAAAAAGACCCAGAAATAACGACCAGAAAAACAATAGAAAAGTAATGCAATTGAATGCAATATGCATTCTTTGTAAACAGCCCCAAACATATGCAATGTTGTAGTACTGAAGGCCATACTCGATTCCTTGTAGAGTTTATGTCGAGGCCAAGGCCATATTATCATGGTCTTCATCTTGCATTGACTATATTTTGACAAAGACTCACTTTATACTATCTTGACTCTGGACCAAAGCATATCATGTTTGCTGTGGAAGTTCACGTTATGCTAAGGCAGGTGAGGCCTAAACAATCAAAAATCAGAGATTTGAATATGGACATTTCTCCTCTCTAGATGAAATTATGTCCAAATTGTATCTATTACAGTTACATAACTAAAAGCGAACATTGTCTTTTCTCTTGGTTAACATCATGGCCACATCAGATCCGACAGAATATCATCATCAGCACAAACTATTCCATCACTCTGACGCGACCAACTGGCACAAATACATTGCTAATGCTGATACTTTTCCACCCATCACTAAATAATTCCTTCTACTCTGCTTGTCCTTGAGGCTGCTGGATGATGAAGAGACAGGTGTTCTGGATGAGTCATAGAACATGCCTCTCTGCTGCCCTTTTTTTGTTTGTTTGTTTTTTTGGAATTGACAGTAGCTGGGAAAACCTGCACAAGGGAAACAATGCTTCATTAGAACTGACACAGCTAGATGTTTCGCAGCAGACACCCAGAAACCTAATGACGCGTGAGTCATCACAAGCATGGTATACTGTATCCTGTGTGCTGTAAAACTGCCAAAGAGGATTTACTTATCAGCTTTTTTTTTCACGGATTTGAAAGAGCAAAACAAATAGTTGTTGAAACCGTTGCATGCTGTATATATATTTATACACCAAGACAGATGGAAATTAGCTGTGATTAAATATTTTAATTTGAATCTTTATTTTTTTAGTGTTTCTGTTCAGACCTTCTGTGTCTTTGGCCTTGTTGTTAGCTCTTGTCTTGTTCATCATGAGCTTTTGGTCTAGCTGTTTGTTCCCTCATGTACTCCTGTCTGTATGCTCTATAGTATTGTGTGTTGTTTTTTATTGAGGCATGTGCTCTTATGATGTCATATTTGGTGTGACCACATGGCGTCTAACATATTTCTTTCTATAGCTCACAATTGCCTTCCAGATACATCTGGACTGGATTAGTATAGACCAGGGTACCCAACCATAGCCTGGTTCAACCAGACTCTAGTTCATTTCATTTGCACATAGAGTCTGGAACCGCTCCATTGACAAACGTTTCCTTCCTTGTAGGCGGGTTCACTATTAAAGTTAAAATCTATTGGATCTGCCCAAAGTCACTCACGATCTGCCATAGCCAATCGCTAACGGGGTGTCGTGAGTATGTCACGCGCCGAAGAGGATTATGTTTACAATAGGTTTTCAGTCAACGAGCGCCGCAGGTTTTGTTAATCTAGGAACAATTATTAATTCGAAATGTATATTTGACACGAAGGACAGTGATATATTCATTCAACGGTGGAAGCTGTGTCTAATCATTACAAATACGCCGCTGTGGTCGTTTTCTGATCTGCCGCAAATGCTGTACGTTAGCTGCTACAGTGAATGATCAGTCTGTCTCTATCTGCAGATGTGTAATAAACAACAATTTTTCATATTACGTTTTATTGTTTCTTAATTACCTTAATTATGGTCTTCAAAGTATGTGTTTGTACATTTTTATATGGCATTTATTTTTTTTTAGTAAAACAAATCAACCATTGCCATCTAAAACTGAAAATCAAATATCTTCAAAGTATGGTTTTTCACATTTTTATTTATGACAATTTTTTTTTTTAAATCACAACCAATTTGTATGATTTACAACATGTAAAACTGACACACCAACCTCCTGCACAAGTGCACAAAGGGGCTCAAAATGTTCTATTCATCACAAGAATCAGTAAATATACAGTTGGGAATATGAGCGACTGACATGACTCCTGAGCGGATCTTCAGCAGCCAGGACTCGGGGCTTCCGAACACCAGGCTAAACCGTCCGTCCAAAATGTCACGGTCATCGTGCACGAGCTGCCCAGCACAAACTTCCAAACTTTCTGCCTCCTTCACTTGGTCCTCAGTTGTGCAACAAGACGTGAGACGATAACAATCCGGCTTTAAATTCTGTATATTCGGCAGTTTCTTTTCCAACAACGGACCGAATAGCTTTTCTCACGTCTTTCTCCGCTGCCATTACTGAACTCAAACTGACGCGCTTACATCAACGTCATCGTTCTCAGCCACTCCCTCTATTCGCTGATTGGTCCTACAAAAAATTGATTTCTGGAAACCTAAGGATATGGAGCGATCCCAGGCGTAGTACTGAAGTAAAATGAAATTGAGCGGAAGTGCGTAGGCGGGCGCAGCCAGGCTAACCCAACCATGCTACCAGAGGGCTACCTTCTTGCTATAACCCATGCTGTAGACCCCACCCACTTTTTATCTCATTATTATTTCAATTCCCCTCCTAATCCTAGTTATTCTCCCTGTGTGTTCTGATCTGTGCCACATCATTGAATGGTCATGCATCTATAGTGTTCTTCAGTGTGCCTTGCCTTGAGTGATGTTTGATTCTTGAAAAAATTAACCAAACTTTATTTTTGCCTTGATGTTGCAAGACACTTATCTGACGTAGCACATCCACCCATTAAGAAGCACCAAATGAGCAAATAAGCTTTTAAACGATAATGTAAGCGGGTCGTCAAAAACATCGGATATAGTCAGAAAATCGGATTTGGGCATCAAGACCTGCAGTGTAAATGCAGCCTAAGAGACATGGAATAGCAGTGAATAAACAAATCACAAAAGATGGTGTAAGCAGTCAAACATGCAGCAAAAAGCAATTAGTGATAAGAATGCTTGCAGCGTTTCCCTTTGGTATCCATCAGCTTTTATTATCCCCTGTGCACTCGGGTATCCAGTTACACTTGGCCAGAATGTGTAAAATATGTGGAACACACACCTCAAAACAAAAATTGTTCCCCTAAGTGTTGGCATATCCTTATGAATAGAAGTTTCTGAAAATCCCCAGGATGATAGTTACTCTTTTGTTTGACTCAGTGAAATTATACAGTGTTAATGTTCAGGTGAACAGGTCATTTCATTATGTTGGCTACATATAAAATTAATCCAGTCATAATTACAAAGGCCAGCATGATAATCACTGCAATTTTGCCAAAGCTATGGCTGAAATCAAACTTACATCCACCCATTGAGAGAGCATTTAGAAGGAAAAACATGTAATTTATTTGTATCTAATGTATTTGAATGGTACTTGTTTTCCAGTGTAATATTTTGAAATCTCAAGCCATTAATTTTTAGCTACACAATATTACCTAACACGGTCAATGTTATCGCATCTCACTTGCTTCACTTTTTAACCTCTTTGATGTACTGTAAAGGTATCAATTACATAATCTCCCAGTCGTGCTATCCATTTCCACAAATTCAAACCTCTATCTCCTCGCATAGGAATGGGATTTCACAATCCTGACAACCAGGTGTTAATTTTATTTCACAATACTATGTCACCCCGAATCAAACTGGCCCTCAAAACATACGGTTAGTAATTCCTGCCTCTCACATGCTGCTGGGCCGGAGGGTTTTATTGATGTTCTTTTTGTTTATGGTTCAAATCTGCATGCACGATTAAAAATGGATGTGTTTGAAGTCTGTCGGATCAAACCAGATGAGGGCAGTGAAGGTTTGATGGTGTGAAGCCCCAGCATCTACAAAGCCAGACATACCAAATGGGAAATTCAAGTCAGAACAGGATGCATTGTTTGGCTTGTTCTGGGGGGACCATGCAAACATCCAGGGGGGCTGCAAGATGACTAGGATATAAAGTGGATCCAAAAGTTTGAAAATCACACTCTCAATGCAAACTTTTCTTTTGTTTTGATGACAGCTGCATGAACTTCCCAAGTTTGAGTTAAAATTGATAATTACAGGATGTACTCTAGCATGATTTGAGAATGATCCAAAAACCATATTAAGCTTCAGTGGAACTAGAAATCACAATTTCCACAATCCTCATATCTTATTAATGGGTCCTACTGTATTGGATAACATAATTAATAGAGGCATAGTGGGTTCAGTCTAACAAAATGAACAATAACAAGTTTCTCCTAATAACAAATATATCAATAGAATGGATCTAAAGAAATGTTCAGTCACTGATCTCTACAGTGGATTTACCATTGACTGTAAAAAATATGGACTAAGCGTCTGTGACGTCACCCATAGACTTTCTGAAGAAAATTTTTGAGGCTGTTTCTGGGGGGTTTGGGCGGCGCCATATTGGCAAATCTTGGGAAATACAAAATACAAATGTTCAGAAAGGATACAGAGGATGTGTTGTGTCAGATCATGGCCGAGACGTCAAATTCCACTCGGCGCAGCCCGTTATCAGCTGTCAATCAAAGTTAACCACCCTTATTTGTCATACTTCATTTTATATCTAAACTAATGAGAAAAATTCACCACTCTCACAGTTGTCAGGCACTCGGAACCTATCCAAAAATACAATAAAAGTCCATGGGACCAACCTGTAAAAGCATGAATTTATGCTGTGAAAACGGACATTTTAACATGGGGTCAACGGACATTTGCTCCCTTTTGGGACCTCCCTCTAGCGGATTTTAGATGTATTGCAGTTTTTCGCACTTCCGGGTAGGCTTAATTTTTCAGATTAGAATGTTGCCGCTTGGGATTTACAGGGTTTTCCAAATATAAAATTACAAACATAATTCCAAACAAAAAATTCCAAACACGTGACCATTAACTTGTCATCAAAGAACCATCAACGTATGTGCATGTTTTTTAAATGATTGAAATATTGCCGTACATTTTTTATGGGGGTACTTCAAGTAAATATTTTAGGTCAAAGTGGTTTCAGTTTGGAAATCCCTGCTCTTATTGTTTCGACACAAATCATGACAACTACATTAATTTTGCAAATGATCCTGCAATATGGGGATCCTGTGTCAGGCGAGCAACTACCTTTGAAATGAAATAAAATGTTACCAAATAGCTTTCTTCAGCAAACTCCATAGAGGTTAAATATAGGCAACTTTTTCAATATTTTGAAAATTATCCTTCAGGACCTAATCACAAATCTTTAAAGAAATTAATATTAAAGACATATTCATGATTCATTTTTCAATTATATATAAATTATTATTATCATTAATTCATTCATACTTCTTACCTTGAATCATCTAGACATTTTACATCTGCTGAAGGAAAACCTTTGATCATTTCCATTGCTTCACCCCTAATGCCTTGGTTGTGGGAAAGAACTGAATGAGCTTTTAAAGTGGTGCATGACATTCAGTGAAATAGCCTGGTGTGGAGGGCAGGCCATCTATTTACTATAGCAACAACATCAAAGCAGAATACATTACGATCTACCACAAAGTGCTATCACCATTTTACCTCATTTTTTGTTTGAATTTGCTGTGAAGTGAATCATTGTGCATGTGGAACATTAAGTACACAGTAAAAAAGAGCTCTTGGATGACTGTGACCTTCTAATGGATTTTCAAAACAGATTGAAAATGTCAAATTATGTTAAATTATACCTCTTTTTGAATATATAACAGTAACACTTTACAATGAACTAATGATGAGTTAAGACCTGTATTAATGAAGAACTAACCTTAACTACGACATGAGTCATATATGAATTCCTGCGTGAATATACCATCTTAACTACACGTTATTACATGCTTGTGTATGTGTATGTATGTAAATGTATTATTAACACTTTGGAGTAAAGTAAATCAAACATGCTCTAGATTAGACGAAAGATGTATTAAATATGCCACCAGCAACTGTCACAAACATCATTGTCTAGAACTAGATGTCTTAACAAATAAAAACACTAGATGTCTTGCAATATTTACATTTAACCTTACTCACTGAACACACGATGCATTCATCATTAAAAAAACATTTAATGACATAATGATACAGTACATTAACAAGCCATGAATGCATGTTACTTTATAAGTAATTAATGATAAATTAGTAATAATGTGTGCCCTCAAGTAAAGTCATGACACAGTCATTTTATTAACAAGCCATTACTTTATGTTAGTGTATGGTTACTTAATCATGAGTTAGTAATGATGTGTCCCCTCAAGTACAGTCATGACATAATGATGCATTAACATAATGATGCACTGCTTCCCATTCTTCAAAGACTAATCCATCTTCCCCGAACCACCGTCAACCCATCTGCAACAGAGAAAAGGACATTAATCACAAGCTAAGCTCATTTATGTTTCTAAGTCATTTGATCCTCACCTGTTATCTCCGACTGCGATCCATCTGCACAATAAAACTTATAAAACTTACCATCCCATTTTCCACTTCTACAAGAATTACCCTTGGCTTGAGTATTCAGTTAGAAATGATTCAGTCTACTGTTTTGCTTGTCGCCATTTCCAGACTGAAAGCTGCATGAGGGGAAAAGAAAGGGCATGAGTGACTTCAAAAAACTGAGCAGTAAACTAGAGAAACATGGGAAAAGCCAGGCCCATCTGAACTGTAAGATTAAGTGCAATAACTTCCAAGCAGCCAACTCATCCTCGAATGGATCTATTGCAGCTAAACTTTCTGAAAGCTATAAAACTACAGTTGAAAAGAAAGAGGTTATCTATGCAAAGTAGTTGATGTTTTGAGCAGGGACGTGCACAGGGGGGTTGCTCAGGTTGCCCGGGCAACTGCCCATATGCCCTTCTCGACTCAGGTTGCCCTTCCGAGGAAAAAAAAAATCGTACAATGGATGTAGAATTTCACGTAGGCCTAGACAAAAAAAATAGTATAAAAATCGCAAAGCCTCATTCACTTCCATTCGGGCACTGAAAGGGAAAGTCAAACTGTTTACGTGGCTGCAGTGCCGCACGCGACCATAGACTGCACGCGACCGGTGTGTATGGTAAGGCACCGCAAATTACTCAGGCCGCGCCTCCATCTCGTGTCGCGCGCTAATTAATGTGTACGATGTCCATGACAAAATGAAGCGAAACTATCCTTCTCGTCACGAAAAGAGGAAGAAGAAAAACATGAGAGTGAATTGCGGGAACAGCTGTCAGGTAAACTTGTGTTTTCTCCTCTCTAGTTTGATGTCAGCAAAGTTTGATGGTTTTTGGTCTTGCTAACCTATCTGGGCAGGCAGTGCATCTCTTGCATCACTTTTTGCCTGACAAAAGTGAGAGTAAAATACCATTATTTATTACGTTTTGTTTTTGATAAACGACAAAGTGCAACAACAGTGTTTGTTTACTGCAGCTCGGAAAACATAACCGCGTCGCGTGTGTTGCGTTCATATGCGCGTGCACGAAATGAAACTCGCATTTTTCAAGCAGAAATGTGGAGACCAGAAAAATACTGTACAATACGTGAATGATGGCACTCCCAATCAAAGTACACATTATAAAGACACTGATTATCTAGTCTCAGTTTAGTTAAAAACTCTAAACAACTGCACTAATTATGCAAGATAGAAACCAATGTATTGGCACTTTGACATTGATTGACTATTGATTTATAGGCTATATTGAATTTGAAATGATGATTAGCTGGACATTCTGGTCAATATGAATGCAAATCCCTCAGTAAATAACAATAAATCAAGATTTGCTTCAACATGCATAAAAAAATAAAAATAAATAAAAATTACTGATTCCGAAAATACCCTGGCTGTAGAGAGAACCAAAGTTAATCCCAAAAGCCAAAGTTCAGGGTTGTACTTTATTATTTTCTTCTTATTTATGTTTACGTTAATATTCACTTGTTATCTTAACATTCTAAAAAATGCTTTATTCAGTAAATATTGTTTGTTTGAACCTCATTTTGTTCTATATTGTTGTACTTGTTCTTTGACTGTTTTGTTTAAAGGAGGGAAGATTGTATGGGCGGTATTGAGTGGCAATGGCAAATGGTTTACATGGCTCACGGCATCACAGATCAGGTAGAGGGCCCCTTAGCAGAATTTTGCTTAGGGCCCCATGCAGGGGGAGGTCAGGATTGGCAAAAAAGGATTGTATTTTTTCCCGAAATCTAAGCGTTTTTTATTTTTCGAGTTTTTCCATTCAATCCAGATTATTTCTTTTCAAATAAATAAATAAATAAATAAATAATAATAATTTTAAAAAACAATAAACAACAATATGAGGAACTCTTTTGCTCATTTGTCTCATCTCTGACATTTTGCAATCTTTATAAATAATAATAAGACCATAAGATGAGGCATTGCGTTTGGACATAAACACGGCCAGATAAGGCAATTTGGAAGGTGACAAATTCAACTGAATATATTCCTTCATATAGCCCGGGAGGGGGGAGGAGGAGGGGGGGGGGGTGCCCTTTTTTCAGGTCAGAGCAACTGCCCCTCAAAATTCCTCTGCACGTCCCTGGTTTTGAGGCTACTGTCTGAACTTGGATTGCCCTTTCGTGGACACAAGGAGGGAGACGAGTCAGAATCGAGTAGCAATTTCCTTGAGGTTTGCAGTTTTTTATCGAAATATGATGCTGATTTTGAAACCTTGCAATCCAATTATTTTAATGCCACAAGCCCAGATTTATAATCTGATATAATCTGACGAAATAATTGACATCTGTACACACATGCTTTACAACAACATTGCTGAAACGGTGCAGGAAACTGGATTTTTCTCCATAATTGCGGACGAGGCTAGGTCCTGCAAAACTGAGTAGCTGTCAGTGTGCACACGACATGCCAAGGAATTGGAAATCAAGGAGCGTTTTTTTGTGTTGTATGGACTGTTCTGCATCTCGCAACGCAGCTGGGATTGTGGAGGCCATCTACAAAGAGCTTGATATGTGTGGTGTTAAAAACATCCCAATTGTGGCACAGAGTTATGACGGTGCATGTGTCATGTCAGGTCATGTGTCTGGTGTGCAGCAGCGCATCAAAGCAACCCACCTACATATACTGCTTAGCACACAAATTCAATTTAGTGCTTATGGAGTGCTGTTCCGTGAACCGATGTGTGAAATCATTCCTGAGAATTATTGACAATGTGTATTCACTGTTTTTGGAACCGTCAAACCACCAGAGATTTATTGAACTCCAAAAATCCTTGAACGTGAAAGTAACTGAAGTAGTTCAGCCCATTGACACGAGATGGGCATGCAAGTGGAGATGTGTGAAATCAGTGAAAAATCAGTAAAAAGTGTTTGAGAGAAATTAGCGAAGAGAGAGAGAAGTGATCAGTGCAAGCCAGTGGTATCCATGTCTTTGTCGAAATGTCATTCATTACAAGCCTTGTTGTGTTTGAGGAGGTACTGCGTGTGATCCACATTACGCAGAAGGCACTACAGTCAACTGCACACTGTCCGAAGCTGCAGCTCTTACTGACAGCCTGAAAGCACACTTCGTGTCTAAAAGGCAGGCAGACTGGAGCGATGTGTGGGAGTCAGTCAAACAGTTCTGCCTGGACAACAACATTGCCTTGCCCGAAGAAAACACTGATCGTCAGATTCACCCCTCCGCAGGCCCCTCTGCACCCAAAATGAAACTTGTTTCAAATCCGCCCACCTCCCTTGATGGTTTCTTGATAACCAGTACTTTAGGGCAAAGGGAAACAACCCACGAAGAAACAGCAGAGAGTCCTGGCTATCAGCAGAAACTATATTTCCCTGTGCTGGACACTCTCATCAATGAACAGGAAAGGAGGTTGTCCGGAGAGTCCATGGAGCTTGTACGTACGTGTGCCACAGTTTTGACATGCGACGAAAATGGAATTGATCCACTATTATAAAAATACACTCCTCTCGCACTAAAAGTTAACCCCCTTCTTGTTGCAGCCGAGATGAAGCTTGTCAAAGCCTCTGCTAACACACCAATTTCAATGGAGCATCTTAAAAAAGCTGTAAAAAATGACCTACCCAAATCTCTATAAACTTTTACAGTTATCGCTCACTCTGCTGATTTGATCATCTACCTCTCAGAGAAACTTCTCTTTGATGAAGAGGACAAGGAACTGGCTGCGGTTGACGATGGGAGCAGCCAGGTTTTCGTCTGTTGCGATTCTTCACTTTGAAACCGACATTACGGCCAAGCTCTCACCTGAGACCATTATTTTTCCTGTGTCTCAAAATATTTTAAATGTTTCATGAAATAGGCTACAATAAAATGCTAAATATAGCTTGTTTGTAACCGCTCTAACTGCAACAATGTGTTTCAAATGTGAAAAGTAGGCTATACTGTATTGTGTGACTGTTCATTTTTCCCAAGTCTTAAAATGTTTCAAATAG